CCTTGGAGAAGGACACCAGGTTGAGAAGGATAGAGGGTTGGCACAGGAGACAAAGATCCTGGATGAGATGGATTGACACAATGACTATGGCAATGGGATCAAATGTGTCAGAGACCAAGAGGCGGGCTAAGGATAGGGTAAAGTTCAGAGCCAATGTACATAGGGTCCCTATGAGTCTTAATTAATTTGATGGTACATAACAACTACAACAAAAACAACAACATTTCTTGACACTGTTTTAAACTGTAGAATTGTTGTTATTAGGTGTCATCACATTATTGAGAACTCATTACAGACTTATGAACAACACATAATGCCCTATACTATGGCATCCTCCTGATCACCTCTGTACTCAACCCCTTGCTAGTCACTCTGTCAGTTCATCATCATGAGGGTCTTTTCTTTTGCTGACTCATGCAACTTTCCCAGCATGATGTCTCTTTCCAAAGACTGGTGCCTCCTGACAACAAGCTCAAACTCTGTGAGATGAAGTTTCACCAAAGACCTTGGAAGAGCCTAGATGAGATGGATTGTTTCAGTGACTGTGGTAAGGAGGGCAGCTGTGTCAGAGGCAATAAGATTGACACAGGATAGAGCAGGGTTTAGGGCTGCTGTACCTACAGTCACTATGAGTCGCAGGTGACTTGATGTCACATGACAACAGCAACAATATTCTTCTTGAAGACATCTATGAATAACTCCAGTTCTTTGCACATTTAATTATAATACATTGCTTTATCTTCTCTGAGTATTCTTTAAAATCTTCTGTTCATCTCTTACTTCAGTGTTTGTTGGTTATATATTTTTTATCTCTTGTTTTCTTTAAGTACTAGTAAAAGTTTGTCTGTTCTGATATTCATTTTAGTATCTTCTTTCTTTTCTATCTAAAAAGATTTTGCTTTCTTCATAGATGATGTCTTTGATATCATCTGACAACTAATCTGGTTTGTGGTCATAAACAGTCAGTGCATCAAATCTATTGATAAGGCTTTTAAATTCAGTTGATATAGATTCAAGGTCACATTTCTTGAAACTTCCACATGCGTAGATGGAATGTTCAACAGTCCACCTGTGGCATGGTTTGACTGCTGAAGTTAATTTCTCCATCATCTCCT